GTGCAGTCTAAAGATTGGTGACACTTTAAATTTCATAGCAATTGGTTTCTGCGACAAGCACACCTATTTGTGGTACATTTATTTGTGGCAAAGATCTTATTTTCATTTTACCGAGTGCCTAGTAGGTAATGTACGGATTACCTAGATACTCTGCACATTATCTAGGTAATTTGAAAAATGGAACAATTTTCACAACTTTAACGGATTACCCTAGTTATTCTGCAGATTAACGACTTTCGAGCTTTAGCGGTAACATATACACTGTATAAAAGAATTATAAAGATGTTTTAATTTCTCAATTTTAATTTGTATTATTATTTTGAAATTTTACATACATAATAATTAATTATTAACATTGTTTTGTGTTTAATATTTGATAAGGTATTTATACAAAATTTTTGAAATTAACTGCATTATTCAAATATTTAAAATATGATCATATAATATGTATATTATATGTTGTTTCACTTGCACTTTTAATACATTCAGAATTTTTGACAAAAATATTTTAAAATTTTCAAATATGTTACTTATTTATTCATTTCAATTGAAAATTAAACATAGAGTCAATGTGGGTAAATATGAGACAGTTGTGAAATTCGACTTAATCTGATTTGTTTTGTACTAATACAAAATAAAGCTTATTTAGTGCTTTTTAACATGTAACTTCTGAATGAAAATGATTATGGCTCCATCGAGTCTTTTTAATTTTTAAGGAACACTACAAAAATAGATGAACTGATAAAAGTCTTTTTACCTAACTTTAGCTCTATATTCTGCAAAAGACAGATATTTAATTAGAAATTTGTATGTAGTATATAAACAGCTTTCAGCTCCTAGTTGTTTTTATTGCACGTATCATCTTTTGTCTGAGTTTTGTGCATTTCAAAATGAGACAAACCAGATTTTATTCAACAGTCATTAATTAATTTCCACAAAATTCTTTAGTTGTGCTGTATCAAAGAAAAATATATCTTTGTTCTTGTAGGTGTGAGTTTTGAATGAAATAATAAAGATGCCAAACAATTATCGGAAAAACTAAGAAGTAGGGTCAATGTGGGTAAATATGAGACACTTCAAAACATGCATATTTAATCTTATCTACTTCTAAATATCATGGAGCAATGTTTTATACAAAAATGTCTTGCATTTAACCTATAGTACCTCATTATTAACCTCCATGTTGGCATAGGCAAGTCCTTATGGTGATGTAACAGGTCTCACATTTTTCATCTCCCGGTGTCTCATATTTTACCTTTTGAAAGTAAAATAGGAGACAAGGAAAAATTTTTTGCTCAACATTTCTCATACATACATAAAAAAAATGAATACTCCATTAGATTTTAGTGCCATCTGTACACCTTGTCATGTATTTCTCTTTGTAAAATACTGATCCTAACAAATTTGATGTAACAATTGACTGGTTGATTATGATTGACTTGTTGATCACCTGTTATATAACATTGTTATTAACATAAGTTTTATTTTAAAATATAAAAATGTTATAAAAAAGTAAACAATATATATGTAGAACAATTTTTATTTGTTTCCAAGCAAAAACATTTTATTTATTTTAATTTTTCTTCTAATATATTAACTAGTTTTGTTAATATGTCAGTTCTTTTCCTGTTTTCATTAATATTTTCTTGCAAGAGTTTTGCCATGCGATCATGATGCTCCGCATCAGCTTTTGCTTTTTTCCTTTGATTGCTCAAGATTTCTTGAGCCTATTCTGATATCTTTCTTTTTTTTTTATTTTTTCTTCTGTTTTATTGTGTGATATGCTGTAAAGAACAAAGAATGTTATAATAAACATTATAAATAAGAGCTTAATTATAAATGATATAAATTGCTCACCTAATTTCAGAAATTGACTTGTTTTCTTCTGTTTCATTTTCATTGTTTTGTTTTTTATTACCAGAAGAATTTATAAGCTCCGAAACTGGTACTATTGTTCCTGTATTTCCCAGTATATTGTTTAAAAGGTGAAAGTATGGCCAAAATATTCTACCTCTTCCTGTTGAATTATTGTTATCTATAATTTTTTTATAGGTTACACCTAGATTACTCCACTTTTTTTGGATGTTTGTCCATGACACATTGAAACCTTTTTTTAAAAAATGTTAGATATATCTTTCCAAACTTCTATTTTTTTTTTTTTTTTTTTTTGGTTGGTTTCTGGAAATCTGACGTTTTTTCTCTATATGTTTCAATGAGTAGTAGTATACAGGCAAGTATCCATACAAATTTTTCTGAAAATTTATTGAACAGTAATTATAGAATAATAGTAACATTATACTAAATAATGAAAACTATACTATACCTTTAGAGTTTGCCTCATCTTTAGGAATTTTTTCATTTCTTTCACTTAATCCAATATTATCAGAAAGTTGGTTGGAACTAAGATTTTCATGATTTGAATATGAACCTATTCCTTTATTTTCTTTATTATTATCTATACAATTCTGCATGTATGCAGAAAGAAAATTGTATAGATAATAATAAAGAAAATAAAAGAATTTTAATTAATTGAACAGAATATACACTAAAGCTTTTATATATTGATGAAATGTTATTAGAAAAATATTTCTTTACTAATAGCATGGATGCAAAAAGCTATATTACTTATATTTTTATGAAAGTTGTTACTATATTGATTGTAGTATTTAACATACAGGTTTATCACTGACACATTTAAATTTTAAAATTTATCTAAAACAAATATAATAGCAAATATAAAAACAATAAAAATAAAATACATGTATCAGATATTCTAGTACACTATAATCTAGAATAAAGTAAATAGACTTAATTAATTATAAAAGGTACCAATTGTCTTCAAATTAACTATTTTATAATAAAAATAAACTAGAATCTGTGAAAGTCGTTCTTATTAACAGAGTATTAATTTACTTAAATTAACAGTAATTACATCCATTAAGTGTTTGAAATAAATTATTGTGGAAGTTATAAAAAAACAAAAGTTAATATCTTACCATTAAAATTGTTAGCCTCTTGTTCACTCATTATTATAACAATTTTATGATTGTTATAATAAAATATGTTTAGACCAACACGAGCAGCCATCTTGTAAATCATACGAGACAAAAGCAATAACGTCGCTAGTATAAGTTAGCATAGATAAAACAAGCTGACTGAACTAGTAAGAATTCTAGCGGTGGTAGGAGTCAAGCAGTAATTAGAAACAAGTTCAACATAGCAGCATAACTAGACTTAGCAAGAATTCTGCATTACTAAACACAGCCCTGCTTCCTATTGTTCAAACATTGATATCTCAGTTATTTTTCATTTTACATACATTGTTCCAATGCCTTTGGCTGTTTTCTTACATGCAGAATCTCATGACATCATGAATTCCTGGTATTTGTATTGGAAATTTTCAATTTTCTACCCTTAATTTTGTATATCATAAGTGCAAGTTACCCTGAAAGTGAACAGATTCCTTCCTTTCTGCACTTCTGAGATTGCCATTAATTAGTCAAGTTACTTAATGACAACCTTGTATCTATCTAGTTTACAGGAGTTGTATATCAGGCAAGTACCTTGCCCACTTGGTATGCTTGATTACATATCAGAAACTTTTGTGATTATATCAAAAATGTTTACACAAATAAACTGCTTGCTTTCAGTGAAAAATTTATTTTCACTGAATATTAATTTGAAAATATTAATTTTTAAATTAATATTACTGCACATTTATTTACTTGGTATACTAAATATTTTTATTAACAATTTGATATTTTTTTACATATTTTAATTAGTTTTACAAGTAAAACATTAAAAGGTTAATTATTTTCATGTTAGAATAATTAAGATCCATTTCTTTCAGATCTTTATATATATATATATATAATTTATTTTTATTATCTTATATTCTATAACGAAAACTGAAAATGTGAATGATTTTTTTCTTATTACAGATATGTCAAAAATTAATGTTCGGTCAAGATTTAATGGCAAACCAAAAAGTCTTCCAAGAAGACAATCGCAAAGGAACTTAAGTTCAAACAGTGATTATATTAATAATGAAAAATTACAGTTTTCAAGCAGTGATGAAAATGAAAATGTTAATCCTTCATTTTCAACTCAAGTTAATAAATCTCCAATGGTTATGAGAGAATGCACAGAAAATTTTAATTCAGCCTCAGAGGATAATTCTTCTAAAACTGATTCTAATAAAGCATCTGAAAGTTACTCAAATATACATAGTTTAATTCCAATATCCAGAAATAAAAGTAAATATGAATTACCTAGCAATGTGCCAGAAATATCAAATAATTGCAAAATTGAAGAAAATGTACAAAAACAAAAATCATCACACTTTAAGGAAAATTTATCTTCTGATAAAATTTCACCTAACAAAAAATGTACAAAAGTTAAAGGAAAATCTCCTGACAGAAGAAAAACTTTTATCATTTCTCATGAGAAGAAAAGTCTGAAAAGAGAAACATATACAATATCTGAGCTAAATTCAACTATTGCTTCTCTTTCTAAAGTGGAAGATCCAAATAGTTCAGAGAATTCATCTCCCATAAAAATATCAAATAACTGTGATAAAATAACAAGTTCATCTGTTGTCTTTGAAAACATTTATAATAAAGGTCTTAGTTATGTAAATTCTAATACAAACTTAATTTCTGCAAATGAAAATGAAAAATTAGGAAATAACAAAATTGAAAAAAGTAGGAGTAGATTGCTTTCTCATAACAAGGGAATATATGAGTCTGATAAAAATACAATTAAAGAAATGAGATCTGCTATTGAGAAATCTAAAAATCATAAAATATCTACAGATAAAAAAAAGATTGATATTGAAAGAAATATCAATATTAATGAAACAAAAAGTTCAAGCAAAAAGAATGTTAAATTTGAATCTATCAAATATTGTCATAATAGTGATCAATTAGTTGTAACAAATTCAGTTGATGAAAATATGTTAAAAGAAATATCTCCAATTGTTTTTCAGACTAAAAGGAGACAGAAAAGTATTAGAAGGAAAAGCTTAACTAATAAGAATAATGAAACACAACTGCCTAAAATAGATAATGATATTTTTGATGAGTGTCATATGAAAGAAAAACTGTTTAAAAATAAAGAATTAACTACACAAATAGCTAACAAAGAATTAATTATACAATTAGATGATGTATTGACACCAATAAAGACTCATTCAAATAAAACAGAAGAAAATTATATTTTTATAACAGATCCTTTAGATGGAAGCTTTCTGAAGGTAGATACTAGTATAAAATTGGAAGAAAATTCTGTTAATGAACAAAATGAAGAAAGTCAAGATAACATAGAAGGTAACTTATCTTGATTATATTATTTATTTAAACTTATGTCATATATGTAAAGTTTTTATGATATTTTCTACCGAAGCTATTAAATTTTAAATACAGTGTATTTGCTTTATAACATCTTGTTTTACAGCTGCTTCATTTTACAATTAATATATGTTGTCTATTATGATTACATAAAATTTCATATTTAAGTATTGCAGTTTTTTGTTAGCCATTTCAGTGTATTGTTTTTCAACTCAAAGTTTATTTCCAAGAGTATAATTTCATTTTATTATACTGAATCTATGGAAAATTTAGTTTAAATGATTTGCTTATTGATAGTTTCTAGAAATCAATGTCATAAAAGTGAGAAACTATTGCAGTAATGGCCTTTTGCAATTTATTAGAGTGATAATGATATAGGTAATGTAATTTCATCCATTTTTTTGTGCAATTAATCTGTAAAATAAATACATTTCAAGTGAGGTATATTTTAGAACAAATATTTTTTAAACTATTATATGTTAATACTTTTATACAAAAAAAGGATATTTAAATTTAAAAAAAATTTATTTCTTGTTCTAATTTAAGAAAATGTAACAATCTATTTACTCCCATTCTAATTAACATTGTTGGCATGATAAGTAACAGACTTGAAAGTGCAGTGATAGAATTTTTAATTTTAAATACGATAGTATTTAAAATTAAAAATTCAATATTATAATATATATTACATACGATAATAAATACGATAGTATTGCTTTTTTTAACCTTTTGCACATTTTTGCCACTTCACATATTTTATCTAATTCAACTTAAAAGTTATGCACCTTAAAGAAAAAATTCTCTGCTTTCAATTTGTCAACTTAAGTTAGAAGGAAAGCTTATCCAGAGTATCTACTTATGTCTTTCCAACAGTAAGAGAGATCTTTCCAGCATTATATGTGTATATGTATGTATGTGGCACAATCTTATTTCAGGACTAAAGTAACCAAAAGAAATCAATTTAATATGATATCAAATAGTATACAAATAATCTCTGACTAAAGAATAAAAAAAACTTTGCAGAAATTGATACAAAAAAGTGAGCTTTATTTTGTTAAAGGATATGTTCAAAATGATAGGCTTCAGCAACAAAATAAAGATTTAGATCAGTGGTGTCCAACTGAAATTGTTTACTGGACAAAAAAATAAAAATACATTGTGGGCTGCACATATTTATTTATAACAAAACATTTACAATTCTACAGTATTTTGTATGTATTTTAATGTAAAACATGTTTTTCAATTTTTTCTCTTAATTTTTTTTAATATCAACAGGTATTTTCAATGTTATACAACATAGTTGGTTTTTTAAATTTTCATCAGTCAATCTATTACAACTTTTACATTTAACAATCTTCAATTTTGAGAAAAAAGATTCACAAAGGTAGATGGTTCCCATTGCAGATGTAATGCTCATCGGCAGTTTTTTAGGTTGGGAAATTTATCCTGACAGATGTGTTTTTTTTTTTATAAAACTGAACTTTGTCATTGGCTTCAAATATAGATTTCAATTCAGAAGACGACTGGAGTTCTATTAACTCATCTGTAAATTTGTTGAAGCTGATTCCACAACAATGTCAAATGAACATAAGAAAATATTAAATATATTTTCATAATTCCTTAAATATGAAAATTTCTTCTGAAATTTTTATAANTATTAACAGGTATTTTCAATGTTGTACAACATAGTTGGTTTTTTAAATTTTCATCAGTCAATCTATTACAACTTTTACATTTAATAATCTTCAATTTTGAGAAAAAAGATTCACAAAGGTAGATGGTTCCCATTGCAGATGTAATGCTCATCGGCAGTTTTTTTAGGTTGGGAAATTTATCCTGACAGATGTGTTTTTTTTATAAAACTGAACTTTGTCATTGGCTTCAAATATAGATTTCAATTCAGAAGATGACTGGAGTTCTATTAACTCATCTGTAAATTTGTTGGAGCTGATTCCACAACAATGTCAAATAAACATAAGAAAATATTAAATATATTTTCATAATTCCTTAAATATGAAAATCTCTTCTGAAATTTTCATAATAAATTAGTAATTTCTTGTGTATATTCATTAAAATGTTTTTTGTCACTATTAAATATATGTAACAGTGGAAAATGGACTGTATTTTTTGATTTTAATTGACTTTTATAAAGTTTGAATTTTGCTATGAATGCTTTTATATTTTGATAACAGTCTGTGATAAATTTGTTTTCACCTTTAAGCTGCTTACTAAGTTTGTTTAATTTCATTGTGATATCTGTAAGGAAACATAAATCCAAAAGCCACTGTCCATCAGATAATTCAGGAACATTCTGATCATTTTCATTCATAAAAATTCAAATTTCTTCCCTCATATTCCAAAATCTTACTAAGCATTTCCATGACTTGACTTAACCATCAAATTTTTGTGTGAAAAAAAGCAAATCACTGAACTCAGATTCCAGTTCTTGAAGATAATCTCGAAAATGACAATGATTCAAAGAATTATTTTTTATTGTATTAACTGTTTAAAAACTGACATCACACGGTTCATATTAAATACTTGTGCAGATAAATTTTTAAGGTGGAAAAAAAAAGCAATGACAAATGAAAAGCTCCAAAGATTTTTAACTTTTAGCCAGGGCTGTGGAGTCACGTAAAAATCTACCGACTCCGACTCTGGCTAAAACACCAAAACTCCACGACTCCGACTCCGACTCAACAGCCCTGTCAGGGCTGTGGAAGTCGCGTAAAAATCTACCGACTCCGACATTTCCTTACCATCCGGCTCCGACTCCGGCGAAAACATCAAAACTCCTCGACTCCGACTCTACAGCCCTGCTTTTAGCATGACTTCTCTATGCTCAAGAATTAATTCAACAGCTTCAATATTCTTGCCAATCATTGAAGAAGCTGCACCATCTGCAGTGACCCCAATTAGATTTGCTAATTTTAGTCCATGATCATGCAAGCATTTTATGACAGCTTCTTGTATATTTTTTGCAGTAATTGTGTCTTTCAAACTCATAAAATCGAGAAATTCTTTAGTCACATTCATTTCACTATCTCTGCCTCAAATAAAAATGGCAAGTTGTATCCTTAATATCTGTTGTTTCATCCAAAGCCAGTGAAAAATACACAAATTTCTTAGAAAACCATGTTCAGCATTGAACAAATTTCATTTGAAATGTTATCAATTCTTTGCACTACAGTTTGATGTGACAGGCTGATTTNTTTTTATTGTATTAACTGTTTAAAAACTGACATCACACGGTTCATATTAAATACTTGTGCAGATAAATTTTTAAGATGAAAAAAAAACAATGACAAATGAAAAGCTCCAAAGATTTTTAACTTTTAGCATGACTTCTCTATGCTCAAGAATTAATTCAACAGCTCCAATATTCTTGCCAATCATTGAAGAAGCTGCACCATCTGCAGTGACCCCAATTAGATTTGCTAATTTTAGTCCATGGTCATGCAAGCATTTTATGACAGCTTCTTGTATATTTTTTGCAGTAATTGTGTCTTTCAAACTCATAAAATTGAGAAATTCTTTAGTCACATTTATTTCACTATCTCCACCTTAAATAAAAATGGCAAGTTGTATCCTTAATATCTGTTGTTTCATCCAAAGCCAGTGAAAAATACACAAATTTCTTAGAAAACCATGTTCAGCATTGAACAAATTTCATTTGAAATGTTATCAATTTTTTGCACTACAGTTTGATGTGACAGGCTGATTTGACTGAAAATCTTATCTTCTTCTAGAACAATTTCTTTGGCTGCAGTAATAATGCATTCTTTGATGTATTTACCATCTGAAACAGTTTCATTTTTTCCCCAATAATATGTGATATTTGCATGCTAGCATTAATTAATGATAGTGTCTGATTGAACTGTTTGTTTATGAAATATATTTTGTTCCTGCAGTCAGACTTGCCTTAAGTATTTGTAATTTCACTTTTTTGTTTGTTGCTAGTATATTTTTTAAAATTATGTTTTTGTTCATAATGTCCTTTCAAATTGTATGATTTTAATATCTAAGTAGAGTTAGATCAAATTAAACATATAGCTTTGTCTTTCATCTGAACGAAAAAATACAAATTTTCCCATTCACTTTGAAACTGTCTGTTTTCATCTTCAAATTTTCTTTTCTTCTTTTAGACATAATGGAATTAAAGGGTCTAATAGATAAAAATTACTTAAAAATAAAATTTTATTCAATCACATAAAATAAAATTACTCACTGTTTATTTAGTTTAGTTTGTATTGGGTTATTTGTTAATGTTCACATACACAATATGTTTCAGCTACTAATAAAACAAGAAGTCCCTTCTAATTATAAATGCAGCAGTAATGAATTCAATGCTTCATTACTCTGTGAAATCTATGTTAATTATCAGAGATAGCTAAACAGAATAACTTTATTAAAAATGGCTGCCAAGCGAAAAAAAAGAAAACCAGTACCTAACTGTTTTCCAATTTTGAAATGACCTATAGCACAACCATTACATGAAGTGCTCCTTTGGTGGCTAGCTATACTCAAATAACTTATACCATAAAACATAATTAAACTGTTTAAACAATCTAAACATGGAATGATTTAAAATTTTAAATCTATGTGCACATGTAACTCTGTAATTCTAATTTAAATTTTATTAGGTTTATTTTCAAAGAATTTAAAGAAACAATAAAATCTCTTATCATTTATTGGAAACACAGAAGATTGTTGTGACTTAAGAATGCATCAATTGTTTGACATTTATTTCACATATAAGGCAAATTTAAGGAAATGTGATTTTGTTATAACAAAACACAAATTTAAAAATTTTTTTTTGTAAACAATAAATAAATACGTGTACATATGTACTGTTNGGTTCGAAATGCATATGTGAAAACTAATAAAAGAATTTATTAACCTTTGCTGTGAGATAGTCTACCAAAAGGATTAAAGAGACAAAAAATTCATATACTCAAATAACTTATACCATAAAACATAATTAAACTGTTAACAATCTAAACATGGAATGATTTAAAATTTTAAATCTATGTGCACATGTAACTGTGTAATTCTAATTTAAATTTTATTAGGTTTATTTTCAAAGAATTTAAAGAAACAATAAAATCTCTTATCATTTATTGGAAACACAGAAGATCGTTGTGACTTAAGAATGCATCAATTGTTTGACATTTATTTCACATATAAGGCAAATTTAAGGAAATGTGATTTTGTTATACCAAAACACAAATTTAAAAAATTTTTTTTGTAAACAATAAATAAATATGTGTACATATGTACTGTTCATACATATATAATATATGCAATACATTGGAAGCTTTGTTAAAAAGTATTTAACAACTGTTTTAATTTCTGAGTGTAGGTGATAAGGTGTTATACATCAAATTCATGTATTTAACTACATATGTGATATTTCATTGTAATAAAAATTTATACAAGATAATTATGGTTTTAAAAGGGCCACACAAAAACATTGACTGGACTGCAGTTGGACATGGTGGATTTAGATGATCAAGCATGGTGTTATGGATGACACACACAATTCCTAGTGTCACTATTTTGTAAGCCTCTTATATGCATTTTTCCAGTTTACGAACATCACATGGCACTGTTGGATATGTGTCATACATCTATGCTTTTAAGTGACCTCACAGGAAAAGATCCATAGAGGTGAAGTCTGGGGACCATACTGTTCTTGAAACAGGGCAGTGTTGTCCTATCTAACTGTTGCCAAGCTGCTCTGTAAGCCACTGATGCACATTTGTCCAGAAATTAGGTGACAAACCATCATGTTGGTACCAAATCAATTGCAATTGCACCTATGGCAAGTAATCAAACCATTCATTCACTGTTGTGTTTACAATTGATCAGTGTGTTGTTAATGAGCACAGGACCAAGAGATTGCTCCTTCCAAATTTCACACTAGATGTTTAAGATAAAATGCACTTGGTGCCATGTATCTTGCATGCATTTTGGAGATTGCTCTAGCTAGTGTGACAGTAATACATTCCATTTTGGGAAAACAGTGTCTTATCAGTCCACAAAATGTGATGGAGTTACGATTCATTGTGCTGTAAATTTAACATCGTGTTGCACTTTTTAAATTTCTGTGTGGCATCTTCTGCACTGGTTGTATGTAACAGTGGAATGAGTGCTTGTCATGGTAATGTAGTATCCAATCTAATTGTATGTGCTGTAGTCCATAACCTAACCTAATCTAATTGATCAATCAATGCTAGAAAAATTGTTTTTGTGCCCCTGGATAGATAGATATTTAAGTGAATGCATTGTATATGTTAATTTTTTTTATTTTATTAAAGATTCTTTATATATTTTTACAGAAAATTATTGTTATTGTTTTCTGTAATGTTTTATGTTAAATGGTGGTGGTGTTAAATTTTCTACTGTCACTTTCAAATTTGTGCACAAACATTTTAATGAAAGTTCTTTGAATTTCATACAAAAATATGTACATATGTTTTACGTAATGTAATATTGGTGTAAAAAAGTCTCTCTCTCTCTCTAACATTATTAAGAATATAATTATTAAATCATTATTTAAATAATTAGTAGTAATTAATAATAATTAAATTTTTAATTACTAGAAAAGTATAGGTATAATACTGTGTCATTGCTACACTGTATTTAATAATAATTTGAAAGATTGGCAAATTCCATATAAAATCAATATACAGCAACATTGTTATAAATAAATTTAAGCAAAAATTGGTTGACACTGAAAAATGTACTTGTGTTATAGATATTCAAAATATTTTAATTGAAATATGATTCTTGATGATAATATACATTAATTTATTGAAATAGAAGTATATTTAAATATTACAGATATCAATAACATTAATGATGATACAGAAAGTTTACACAGAGAAGGAAGGAAACGACGTGCCGTAGTTGGTGTATCATATAAGGAACCACCTGGCAATAAGTATGATAATGATTAAAGTAACACAGTGGTGCATTGTACTTCAAATTTAATTCATTCTAGGAGGTTATTTGAACTCTGAATTGTACAAAGTCTTAAGCAATTTTTCCCATTAGAAATAATGAAATGTGAATCAATCCATTAAATAAAATAGATTCTTTATGCTGATAATTATATATGAAATGAACAAAACTATCTTTAGACATTAAAAATTCTTTTATAGTGGTGAAATTAACACTAATGCTAATTGAATTATCACTTTAGCAATAATAAAAACAAATACTTTCAATGTTGCATAGATGCCATTTTCAGGTAAATAGAATGTTTTAAAAATACCATTATAAAATTTGTTTGAACAAAAGAACACAATTAAATTTGTGAATATTAAAATTCAAACATAAATATAAGTGAAAGATAGTAAAAATATAATGATTTTAAAGGTGGATAAAATAATGATAAAAGTAATCAATAATGTAAATTACCAAAAATTGAGAATAAAAATGTAATAAGAACGATACTTAAAAATAAAAAATATAACAAATATAAATTTAAATGTTTGGCATAAGGTATAGTACTAATCATCTATATGCTTGAATAGTGTTTCATATGTTTGGGATTTCTAGAGTAGGTTTGTTACATGGTTCTAATGCAGATATATATATATGTATATATAATAATGATTCCCAAATGAAGATAGATTTGCACTCAACACATTGTTGTTTGAGTAATGATGTTTTGGTCTTTGGCCCATAAAGGTATATCATGATTCAGTCCATTTTTAGAGAATTCTGTGGCATGTTTGCTGTTCACAATATTCCTCTGATCTTCCATTAGTTGGCATGAAAGTTGTCTGTCTGTAGCCCTTATGTGATGTAGCCTTGAGTCCACGTGGGCTAGATTGCTATAAAGGTTGATACCTTTATAGGAACACTGTTTCTCTAATGTTGTAAAACTATCACTGTCAGTACAAAGAAATATATGTAATGGTGGCTGAGGCTTAATTGGGAGACAGTGTTTTTTAAAAACCGTTGTGATTCTTAATGTGATAGGACTTAAATAAGGAAAGAATGGGCTTGCAAATGTTAATTTATCATTTTTATTGTGTAGTGTTGTGGAAGGGAAGAAGGATCTATTTACACAATTTTTGATGTGTTTGAAACAATATTTTTATATTATCTGTATTAATTAATATTACAATTTGCCTCACTACAATGCAAATACCATGGTGACATCACGATACCTAATAAAACAGCTGCTTGATGTTCTTTTACTCATTTTTTGAGTAATCTCTTCATTTCTCCTATGTGATATTTAGTTTCATTTTCACATGTACAGAATATTTTGTAAATGACTCCAGCTATCTTGAGATTCTACTACTATTCTTTTTCCATTGCTAAAGTGATAATTCTATTAGCATTAGTGTTAATTTCACCACTGTGAAATAATTTTTAATGTCTGAAGATAGTTTTCTTTATTTTTAATTAATCCTTCTTGTACTGTACATGGAACAATACCCATTTTGATAAACTTAAAACAGCAAATACACATAATTTAAAGTAAAGACAACACAATTAAATGTCCTAATAATAAATTAAAACACAAAAAACATAAATAAAATACATAAATACTGTATAATAAAATGAAAATTGCATTTGCTTGTTGGTCCACACTGTCCACTTCTGCATCTTAACATAGATGTGTGATTTAATTATAACAGTTGTGAAATTTAGCATATTATAGATAATATGAGATTGTATTCTTTGTTTAGAAGCTTACTTTAAACTCTTCACATTTTGTTTGAATGAAATCAAATAATTCCTCAGATAAAAAGCATATTGGGCATTGCAGAAAATTGCTTTTAGCCCTTAGTATAATTAAATTAATTAATTAAAATACAGTGGAACCCCGGTTAACGAACGTCCTGGTTAACGACCAAATCGGTTAACGAACTTTTATTTTGCAAAAATTTTGTCTCGGATAACGAACAAAATTCGGATAACGAACGTAACGATATTTTGTGTCAAATTTTAGTTGGTGTTAGGCACGCGCGAGTTAAGCATTGCTTTTCCGAGTGTTTGTACTATACTTCTTTTTTCAGTTTTGTGATTTATATATTTAATCAATATGGCATCCAAGAAAGAAAAAAGTCATAGTGGCAATAGAAAACGACAACGC